TGTTTCTTTCAAGGGGATGATTCGAGTGCAGAAGGGGCTGATTTGACAAATGAATGGGCCACACTGACAGTCAATCCTTCCTAAGAGAAGTAATCAATGATGTGAGGGTTTCCCGGGTCGTAACGTAGGGTAGCATAAATGTGGGGTGTATATGTACCTTTTGACTTGCCGGCGGAAAAGGAAGAGGGCTCGCGCATCCCAGAATAGGAGGATCTCGGCCCAGGAGGGGCTCTCTTGCAAAGAAAAGGGGAGTTAAAAAGCCTTCTAAGGGACCTAATCGTTTCTCCCTGGAGCTCAAGAACAGCCTAGAGCGAAATTCACGGGCCCCTTCTGACAGCTCATGAAATCGGGTAACTAGATCATTTTTTTTTATTTTTTATTTTTTTTAAGCCTAGAACAAAAAAATTCTAGAGCAGGTGCAGCGACGACAAGTCTTGCGGATTTCTTGAGCTGTTTCTGACAGCTCGATAGCGCCCATTTCTTGAGTAGGTGCGGCAGTGCTACACTCTTGGTTTTGCACGAGTATAGTGTAGTGCAGCGAGACCCTATATCAATCTTTATCTGCTGAATAAATACAGGATGCTTCGAAAAATCAAGGATTTGCTAGGGGAAAGAAAAAAAAAGATGATCTTCATAAATTAGCTGAATCAAATCATAGCTTTTCTCATTATCGTTGGTGGCAAGAATGTTTCAAACACAAAATTCTAGATGAGAAAAAAAGCCTGGCAGGTTGGCGGGAAAAACACACATATCTTTGCCTTGTGCCGTGACCTACTAGATCGAAAAGTTTTTCATTTGGTGCTGTGTTGGGAAAACCTACAGGTTCAACCGATAGCGGTGCTTTGAACCACCAGTACCCATCAGTACCTTTCCCAGTTATTTCGTTCTGGCACAGGCTGTGCAGCATCCTTTGGGGCCTGGCATGCCTAACAGAAAAGGCTGGCACCAACGAGCCTAGCTCAGCTGGTGCGCACATGAACTGTTGAAGTGCAGACCTGAGTTCAAATCCTGCTGGACCTTGATGAAGTGAACAAGTCATTCTGTATTACCTAGGGCCGGTCGCATCAATGAAGATATCCCAAGGCAGTTTCCCTTTGCGTAAAAAGCGGGGGCGGGGCCGGAAGGCTGGTGGGGCAAAGCAAAAGGATTCAATTTCACACCCAAGCCAGTTGGACAAAACTTGGCACGTGGCAGAAACCGGCATACAAAAAAGGAGGCTAGGAAGTACTGGTGGTTCTGAGCGCATGCAAATGCAGGGAAGGATAGACAACTACCTTCTTCCCTCATTGTCATTATAACTGTATTCGGGACAAGTTTCAGTCTAAATACAGCTATAATAACCATACATTGTATTCGGGGGAAGAAGGTACTGTCTCCGTGTTATTATGATCCACACAGAGCGCCAGTTCAGCACCACGAAACTTAGCACACGGCAGAAAACTCGGCAATGGGAAAAAGCAGACTCAGGGAATCACACTAGGACTTTTTCAACCTGTTTGCGGTCGTCATTGCCATCAGGTGCAGGCTAGCTGGCTGTAAAAGCGCTCAGGTACATGGAGAAAAGTCCCCACGTGTCTGTCTATGCGCTCACAACTAATCTGATGGTTTCAGACCAAGCGAGTGCACGGCAGGGCAGACGACCCCACCTTCTCGATGTTATATTATGCTCCATCTGATGTATGCACGACACTCGTCTAAAAGGCTAAACACGACGACTTTAAAGGTTCCGCCTGAGAACGAAAATGATCAGATTCTATAATCATCAAATAACCTTCAGTGAAACATACAAGAATGTGACAGGTAGACACCATCAGATTCTGTCGTCGGCATGGAGCAAAAGACTTCAATAGAACTTGGAAGAGCAAGAATAGGTGGAATAATATTAGAGAGGAGATTGCAATAGCAGGGGCCCTAAGCAACGGGCAACCCACGTGAAAAATAATACACAAATCATTTGGAAAAAAAATGCACGTAATGGACAGCATCGCTACATCAAAGAGGCCTACATAAATGGCCAATCCTACACCAGAGAGGCCTCCATTTACAGCTAATCCAGGCATAGGGAGCTTACAAGGAAACAAACACCAAATCAATGTACCGTAGCATACTCTAGAACCACTTACAAAGAACCTAAAATGAATGCATCTGACCACACACTATGTCCACTTAGAAAGAACGTGAATTAAATGAACCCGACCACATTCTACAACCATATCTGCTAACAGCAGGGTTGACGCCGTGAAGGCCTAGGGCATTGCCGACTACGGACACCCATCCACCAAGCTTCACCATCATGATCCCTGCTGCAGGTAAAACGACGAAGTCACTCCCACTAGGAAACGTGGCATTGGCGGCTGAGACGAGAGTTCTTGATTGTATCTGCAGCTGAAGTCTAAATACAGCCGCAACTCAAGGGAAGACTTTCAATTCACATTTTTGAGTAAACATAGCACTCTACTCCATGACCATGGAATCACAGCTTCGCAACTCCCCCCTAACCACAGGTAAAATCTTATGCGATTTGCATCGCCAACACGCAGTCTTGAATAAATGGGGTGAGAAAATGCAAAAGGGGCCTAGTGAGACACGGGCTGGCTATCTTATCGCTGAAGCCTAACAGATAAAAGGCATGTCATATCTTTACGCACATACCACATGAGGGCTACTACCATATGTAGTCTCTAATGTAAGAAAGAAAGAAAGCTTTGCTCTTGTGGGACACACACACACACACACACACACACACACACACACACACACACACACACACACACAGCGGTGAACACGAGTTTTTTTGGGGGTGGGAATGCATGTTTTGGGTTTGGGCCATGGTATCTTTGCGAGGAGGCTCAGAGAGTGTTTGCTGTGGGTGTCATTCCCATGGGCTGCTCTTTTGGAGCACATGGAAGATATGGGGAAGCCTCTAGGGTGTTTTGAGCAGTAGCGCTCCTGGTGTCACGTGGAGATCTTGTGGAGTTTGGCATAGTACGCACAGCGGCCTTGCTGTAGCACTATGAGATCATCTGATTCTGCAGGTTGTGCAGCAGGGGGAGGTTCATGGCACTCTCGGGTTCTGCGGTGTTTGTTTGATTTGTGGAGGCTTTGTAGACCGACTCAGAAGGCTCTCTAAATTCTTTTAGACCATTGGTGAATGTGGTTGGTGCTTTCCTGTTAGTGAAGCCTTTTATGTCATGGCACAATTTTTATGTTTTTTTGTGTGATTGTTGTCCAGTAACTTTGTTGCCTTATGCCCTCCGTCCTTTTACAGATTATAATATATATTTGTGCAAGTGTGCCGCACTAGCGGAAAGTGGACAACCTTGCATCTTCTACTATACTGTCTATCTATACCTTTTTTGTTTTATGGATGGCGTGTGATGATTCGTGGATGGAATGAGAGAGAATTTGGGTTTTTAACACACACACACACACACACACACATGCAACAGCACCAAACAGGAGGTGCCTCTTACAGGAACATTACTTGAGGTTTCTGAGTGCCAAGCAACATAGATGACCAAAACCCAATAAAAACTTCACGGACTAGAACATAAAAAGGTCACCGCTGCTCTCTCTCTCTCTCTCTCTCTCTCTCTCTCTCTCTCTCTCTCTCTCTCTCTCTCTCTCTCTCTCTCTCNCTCTCTCTCTCTCTCTCTCTCTCTCTCTCTCTCTCTCTCTCTCTCTCTCTCTCTCTCTCTCTCTCTCTCTCTCTCTCTCTCTCTCCCAAGCGTGTGCATGTGTGCATTGTTCGCACTTGCTTTACACTGCTACCACACCATCGGGCCACTACCGACTTCGTAAGGGCAGCTGGTCTGCCCAGGCGTTTGGCGGGCTGACCGCTAAGCTTCCAATTTCCTATTGATTCATCGATTCTCATCCTTTTTTCTCGGTGCCTCATATTGATGCCCTCTTGTCTGGCAGGTTGCAAAATGAACACCTACTTTCTTATGATGAGTATCTTCGAGCTCCCTACTAACTAGATAAAAGTACATAAGTGTTCCAATCATTCATCTGATCTTGTTCCCAGGCGTGAGGTATGCCGTCACAAACTTGCACAAAGAATAACGTTTTCTCTGCCATCACCAAGAAGTAGAATCTGCAAAAGCAACTCTAAAAGTATACTACACTCCGGTTTATCCTGATGTTCAGCAACACATCCAAGGATAAAGCAGATAACTTGGGCAGGTTGCGAGTTCAAATCCTGCAATCCACAACAAGCTACGCATCCAATGATCAGCATGCTCTCTCACTCCCTCACTCCCTCACTCCCTCACTCCCTCACTCCCTCATCCCCTTAGATGCGCAGAGGGGAGGATTTGCTTGCCACCAACTTCGGCAAGTCTACGTGCAGATCGACCGTTGGATGTTCGGTAACTCAACCTGAGAGATGATGATGCCAACAAAAAAAGTCATCGCTGATCAGCTGATCAGGAAAGCCTCGTGCAATTCGGAAGCAAGAGGGTTGTTGCCGCAAATTGACAGCCAGAGGCATCACAAGAAGTTGTAGCAGACCAAGGAACGAGCAGACAGAAAAACATTCACTCAGGGGGCCCAAAACTCCACTTCTTGCTCTTCCGCAATCACTGATGATGCAAACAAACCAAAAAAAAAAAGCCATCGCTGATCAGCGGATCAGGAAGGCCTCGTGCAATTCGGAAGCAAGAGGGTTGTTGCCGCGAACTGAGAGTCAGAGCCATCACAAGAAGTCGTAGCAGACCAAGGAACGAGCAGACAGAAACATCACTCAGGGGGCCAAAAACTCCACTTCTTGCTCTTCTGCAATCACTTTGCGCGAACGTAGCTGACCTGCAAATTGGGCCAGGTTCGTGCTAAGCAAGCCATGCACAAGCAGCAAGTGTGGCCTAACTACCCTTTTTCATGATTGCGGTTTTTGATTGATGTCTTGTCTGGCTCCTGAGTGAACTGCAAATTGGGCCAGGTTCGTGCTGAGCAAACCACGGAACAAGCAGCAGCAAGTGTGGCCTAACTACGCTTTTTTTCACGATTTCTGCTTTTGATTGATGTCTTGTCTGCCTCCTGAGCACTGTCATCATCGCCCACGTCATCTGTCCTTCACCCCTCCTTTCCTAGACTTCTCTGGAGAGCGCTGGCGCTCCTGGAACGCAGAGGGACAGAGCTTGCTGAGAGAACAAAGGTTGCACAGCGGTCGAATAGGGCGGCATATCTCTTGCCCGAATCCAACTAGGAGTGGGTTTATCTCCACCCACTCCTCCTTTGGGAGCCATGCCTCCAATGCCATGCGTGTCTCCTCCGGTGTCTTCGTATTTTTGCGTGCATCCGGCCGCGATCGCGGATCGCGTACCCAATGCAACCGATTGGTTATACGATGCACATGAGTGTCCACACATATACCCTGGCTCTGCTCCCAGGCCACGTTCATGATCAAATGAGCCATCTTTGGACCTATCCCTGGGAGAGCCAGGAGCTCTTTGAGAGTCTTTGGGATATCACCATCATACTTTTCCTCCAAGTTAGTTGCCACACGTTTCAAATAGACGGCTTTCCTTGCATGAAAGCCGACTGGGTATATCAATTCTTGCAGTTCTTTTGTGTCCGCTTTCACTATGGCCTCTACGTTGAGCAGCCCTTTGTCACGCAGTCGGGTAATTGCGCCATGAGTGACACTGTCCTTCGTCTGGCTGGACAGCAAAGCAGAAACGAGAACAGCAAACCTGCGATCCTCCGGTGAAGTTATGCCTATTCCCGCCTTCTCACATCCCATCGAATCCACCGGAGCGGTTGCTGATTGCCTCATCTTCTTTATCATATCCAACACTTGCTTCCACTCGCTCGGAGGGCTGCCATCAAATGAGGGGGGGGGGTGAGATTTCACCTGACTTTGCTGCCTCCCCTTACCCCCCCCCTCCTCGTCCTCTTTCCCCTTCTCCCCCCTCTTCTTTCCCCTTCCTCCAGACGATAATCCATCTCTGTTTCTCGTTATCTCTATGTGATCACCATCAAGGAGATTCTCTTCTTGGGCCATCAGTAACTTAGTCCGTTGCTGTTGCTCCACTTGTTGTTCTCTTCGGATCTGATTGCTTCTCTGTGGTCCTATCGGTTCTGTTCTTTCAGCGATTGATTCAGATGCCCCTTGCACTCCTCCTTGAGGGTGCAGGTTCAGCGCGTCTTCTTCGTATGCAATGTGTCCTAGGTGTCTCTTCTTGCTCCTCCGCTTTCTAACAGAAGCAAAAGAAGATGGAACCCCATTCTCAACCCCGACCTTGAGTGCCAAAGATGCATCAGATATCTCCCTCAGCAGAGGCAAGCCCTCCTGTCCTGACAGCAATGCCTCTTCAGCTGCTGGCCTCAAGGATGACGACTTGTGCAACTGCGCCGCCATCTCACATGCCCCTTCTTCATGTATATCTTCCTTCCCTGGTGATTGTCCTCGTACGGTAGGGGGATCACCTCTTCCTCCTCCTCCTCCTCCTCCTCCTCCTCCTCCTCCTCCTCCTCCCCCTCCTCCATGAGGCGATTGTCGTGCAGCAGCATTGGCTGTATTCGACCCTCGGGAGAGAGCAACGCGTGACCGCGTGACACGTGGCACAGATGGATAGGCACTGCTGACGAGGACGCTACTGCCGCCATCGCCGCTCCTCTCATCCACTTTGCACCGGGTGAAGGCAAAGTCATCCAGCATACGCGCGATTTTCCTTCCAGTTGTAGCAGGACTCAACTGCTGAGGTGGAGCCGTGCCAGCCACCGACATACCACCACTGCGCGGCACGTGGATGCCATCCCCAGTGTTGCTTGACACCATTGCAATCTTTCTTACAGCCTGCGAGCCCCCTGCTACAGCGACGTCCATGGCCATGCTCATCGCCATAGCAGCTTGCCTAGCACCTGAAGCTCTAGCCGCAGCGCCACGTGTCCTCATCTCTCTCTCTCTCTCTCTCTCTCTCTCTCTCTCTCTCTCTCTCTCTCTCTCTCTCTCTCT